AAAGTTTGAAACATTGATTAAAACATAAATGTTTGAATAGGAAAAAGTAAAGAAGAATCTTAGAAAAAGTTTGAAACATTGATTAAAACATAAATAAGATGTTTACATTTGAACATGTACCTTTTTATTATTTCGAATATATTGTTTTTGTCCTGAACCTATCTTATGATGCCTATTGATTACAAATATGGTTTCCTTTAAAGCTCTTTATTTTTTTGAGAAAATAACTATTCACATTTCTTTTTGTTTGTTTGTTTGTTTTTGTTTTAGAAACAGTTTCACTCTGTTGCCTGGGCTGGAGTGCAGTGGCACAATCTCAGCTCAATGCAATCTCTGCCTTCTGGGTTCAAGCAATTCTCCTGCCTCAGCCTTCTGAGTAGCTGGGATTACAGGTGTGCATCACCATGCCCAGCTAATTTTTGTATTAATAGTAAAGATGGGGTTTTGCCATGTTGGCCAGGCTGTTCTTGAACTCTTGACCTCAAGTGGTCTATGCGCTTCGGCCTCCCAAAGTGCTGAGATTACAGGCATGAGCCACCGTGCCTGGCCTAATGCATTTCTTATATCTTCTACATTATATATTGAAAATGGCTTTAATATATGTAAGAAGTATGGAAAAATGAGGTTGAAAGTTTATTGATAATCTGGCAATTTGTGAGGTAAGAACTAGAGCTCTAGATAGTATTTTTAATGTTATTAATCTTGGTCAATATCAATTCTGCCATTATTTTGGTTGAAGAGTCTAAAGCAACATCACCTTCACACTATTTAAATCGAGTCACTGGCGAGCTGCAGGATAATATGCATTATATAATCCCACTTTTGTGGAAAAAAGAGGTATGTATACACAAATCTTTATATTGACATAAGGAAAGGTCTGGAAGGAATCACATTGAGACAAGAAATGACTACAGATTTCACGTGGGGATCTGAGGAGGCTTTTAACTTTAGATTCTACTAAATACATATTTAAAATAATTCTGCATTTTTGCCTTTGTTTTAATCATGAGCATGTGTTATGACTGCAATAAAAATGCATACCACAATATGAATTTCTCCATATAGGTAACAATCTTCAGATTAATTCCTATACTTGTTGTTGAACATGATGGATGACAGAAGAAATTTGCCTAATTATGTTTTTAGAAATTATGCCACAGCTACTAAATGTAATTTAATTCACAGCCCAACAACAAAGTCTAAACTTTCTTAAAATATAGAATTATAACCTAATTCTAGTTCCTGCCATAGTTAATAAAAAACAGCAAATGCAAGTTCTAATTGTAAATCTAGATCTTTAGATTTTGGCTAAAAATACTTGATTTCTACATTCAGAGCTACAAATGCTTTCTGAAAATGCTTTCTGTGATGCAGTCTGTGATACTGTCACACAAAAACTATGAAGTAGGAACTGTCATGAGACTTATAAAGATGGAATGTCTGTAAATTTGGAATGTCACTATGTCACATGAGTTGTGACGGTGCTTGGGAACAAAATGTCATTTCTGAAAAACATGAACCAGGAGTCATGTGCCCCATTTTCTAACTTACTGACCTAGTGATACTTGAGATATAACCAAAATAGATCAATCACAGATATGACTTTATTTTTATAGTTAATCAAATAGTGTGGTTTTTTTTTTTTTTTAGCTATCTTTACTACTTTTTAGAACTCTAAGAAAATGAAAACAAAATACAGAATAAATGAGAATACTCTCTACCTGTGTCTTCTGTTTAATCTTTCATTGATAACTTAGTCCTCACTGTACTCACGTGATCATGTCTTCCGGTTCTTTGTTTAACATCTGGACATTAGTCAGCATCATACACCTTCCTACTTCTTTATCAAGGTGCCGTAAAATGTTGTCTACAGCTTTTCGTACTTGAGAGTAATATAAGGACATACCTGGAAAACATGCATTACAGCTATACCTTAAACTGAATCTGTTAAAGCATATCCTGATTTATTCAGCTTCTATAACGTTTTTTATTGAAGATCTTATGTGTCAATGACTTTCTTGAGCAAAGGGGCTGTCTGATTCAATCTCATCTGCATAGCTCTTAGCATAGTGCCTTGTACTTAGTAGGCGTTCACCAGATAATCATTTAAATTTGATTCACAGAAATTCTAATAGTCAATGGGGAGTAGTTTCCAGAAGAGTTAAGATAAGAAAATACAAAATTCAAATGAAAGCAATTTGAATTTTGAAGTTTCTGGTTAGCATAAAAAATTTCACCATCATTAGTGATTATGTGAATAAAAAATAATTCTCATTTTGGGTTAGGACTTTAATAACTCCATATGACCCTGAAATATACATGTGAATTTTTTTAGTAAAAGAAACAAAACTTTACATTATGAATTTTAAAATGAAGAAGAATATATTTTAGCTATATTATTTTTACTGTTCTCATTAAGTATGGTGTCAATGTCCCACACTGGAAGGCAAATGTGCGTATGAATTATACAAATGAAAAGTCAAAAGCTTTGTATTTAAAATTTGTACCTTAATGAAATAATTTGACATGATTATTTCTCATGCATTACATCTTTTAAAAGTCATTTAAACTTTACATAACTAAAGAGAAATATTTCAAAGCAAAAAGTTTCTCCCTCTGGTTTGTAGAATCCAGGAACTATCTTAATAAAGTTTATAGTAGGTGTCTACATTTGAGTACTTGGTAAGAAATAAACAAATGTAAAAAATCATCTCTTTGGATAAGATAGTTAAATTAAAAAAAAATTAACCTCATGAGTCTAAATCTACAATGTAACCTGGTGTGTGCTATGAGATTTGGCATGTTTAAAACACATGTTAAACTAGTTTAAAGAAAAAAAGGAGATGAATGAATGAATGAATGAATGATAAACAGGATTATCTAGCAAGCACACAGATAAGTCTTGGAAATTTACAGTAAAATGTAGTAGTCAATATTAGAGGCTTAAAAAGACCATAGATAAAAGTCTAACATTTAAATGGCAAAATATTTACCAGGAAGTTCTAAAATGTTTAAAGAGCAGTAAAACAAAACACAGCATGAATCAATCAAAACAATTAATGTTGGAATGTCTTATCATCTACTTCTATAAGGATTTTTAAAAAGTGCATTTCACTAAAGATGAGTATCTACTGATTATTTTAAGGGCTTAGAAAGGCTTAGTTCTAATGCACTTCTGACACCCACCTATCATTTTGGCTTCCTCTTCAGTGAGCGTTTTACTCAAGTATGTTTTCTTTACTCTCAATGTGTTTCCTGAAGGAAGAACGGCTCCTGTAACCGGCATGGGAGGTTCCCCGTCTTTCTGCTGCAAGCTATCAGCTATGACCAAGAATGCCCGTAAACCAATGTTCATTCTCTGTGAGACACAACATTTTCATGACAAAAAGAAAGGCCCAATTATTGTAGTGGAATTCATCCATAAGTCTATCAGAGAGTGAAGACTGACTTTCATGTACATTAGTATGAGAAAATAATTTCAAAGGCACAAGAGTGTAGGGCAAGCTTATGAGAATAAAATTAAGTTTCTGTCACTGTTTTTGTTGCTGCATCACAAGAAAACGACCGGGGAGATTTCACCAAATGCGGAGGGCATGTTTGAGATGTTTATGTACTATATTCTGTTGAGGGGAATGCTGGGTGTATCTCCAAGGGATATGCTTTGATTTCTACAGAAAAGGTACAGAGATTTTAATTGCATTTATTATTATTGAGATTACAGTTTATTCTATATAGATCAATTTGGGGACCACTGACCTCTCGTTGTTAACACTGAGTCATTCAATGTACAAACAGTTATTTCTCTTCACCTTTTGTGTCTTCTTTGATTTCTCTCAGTATTTTATAATTTTTAGTATTAAAATACTGCATCTATTTTGTCAGCTTTAGTGCTAAGTATTTTGTTTTTCATTGCTATTGTAAATTGTTCAATTTCCAATTGCTCATCACTAGGATAAAGAAATATATTGGTTTTGTTTATCTTATATCCTACAAACTTCCTAAAATCATTTATTAGTCCTAAGAGGTTTTCTTTAGGCTCTTTGTACATAAATAATCATGTTCTCTGTGAATAAAGACAATTCTATTTCTTCCTTTCCAATCTATATACTTTTATTCCTTCTTGTTGCTGCCAGCACTGCATAAGACCTCAGGCTTCATGTTATCTTAGGTCAAGGAAAATCAGAGACATTGATGACCAAGAAACTCTGCTCACAGACCAGCAAGTCCTCATGATGATGGGGATGTATACAGAAGGTCATTTAGGTACACTCTACACCAAGACAATTGCCTGGAAATTCCTGAAGAGTTGAGTGGTGACGCAGCATAAATTTTACAGTAAGATAATCCTTTAGATCTCCAGGCCTTGTTCCACAAGCTACTTCCAAAATATTATTTAAGACCCAATCTGAACTTGTTTCCTGAGAAACAATGCCCTACAGCGTATTTCAGCGAGTCTATGACATCTGCTTCACAGACTGTGCCGTCCTCCTGTCTGCTTTTGAGTGGGGTTAGGGGTATGCCTTTGAGCTTATCATTACCAACTACTGATAAATGAATTCTTCCACAACCCTACAAGATCACGAGAAATGGAAGAAGATACCCAAATATTTACTCCTATGGGGATTTTTTTAAAAAAATCACAGTTCCAACTGCTCTGCACAGAGAAGTTAACTAATTAAGCACTGACTGAATGAGGAGTTTGAGAAAAGAACCAAGAATACATTTTATAGACAGTGATAATGATAATAGTAGCTTTTAACATGTCCTTTTTAGATAAGTAATCCAGTAATTCTGAGAATTGATTGCTGAAGACAGTAGAGCCATGACTGCTGAGAAATGAGTAATGTCTTGAGAACTTTCCCAGCAAGAGAGGATGCTTCACTGTACAGCTCTTCCAGCTGTATAGTGGCCTCCTTCCAGCCCAAAGGCTCTGGTCTGGCACTGGCCCTGCCCCCTCCCATTGGCCCAGAGACCCTGGCTGCAGACATTCCAGATGCCTGTGAGGTCACTGGACACCAGACAAAAACTCCCATTTTTGGATTTCTTCTGCTGTTCCTAGATATTTGGCAACCTTAGTATGAAGAAGAGAATAAAGGTGTGGTGTGAAGGAGCATGGGACTAACAGGGACCTGGGTCCCCTCTGCTACTAACAAGCTGCCTGTCTCCAGCCTTCAGGCCCCCTTCCTCACTGACAGAATGAAGGAGCCCGATGATAATACAGACATGATAGAAACTCTCTATGTATTTGATTTTTATGGTGTGTAGTATCCCCTCTTTCTCTCCCTTTCTTCCTTCTCTTTTTTTTTCTTGAAAGTTTCTGATGTATTCTTCCTAGTATCACAATTCTTCTGCGAGTTGAGGTAGAAAAGCATTTTGCCCTTTTTACTGGTGAAAAAGCTGGAGTTCATGGAGGTAAGTGTCACACAGCTAGGAAAAGCAGCAGGGCCTATGGCAAGTGGCAAATTCAGCTCTGCTGACTTCTTGCCCGGTGTTCTTTCTACAACCTCATAGAAAAAGGGGCAGCATGTCAGGCCTACTTCTGTTGGCAGTCAGTGTTTTTAAAACTTCAAAATTGCATGTGCTGCTCATGTGCACCGCCCCCACTGCTCCACGTTGTGCATGATGCCCACTGTATACGCATCCCCACAAGCTGCCTGCCCTGGAGTTGGGATGCTGTCACAGAAACAGATGTGGGTACATTATTTAATTAATTTCACTGTTTTATTATTTTTATTATTACATGTATTGTTCTTCTCTGTTTCATGACTTCTTGATGCTAAATTTGCTAAACAGTTATAAATAAAGCACTAACTTTTCTAAAATAAAACAATCTGAATTTTAGTGAATTATCTTTTTGGGCAAGAATTATTCTGTTACACAAGAACAGAATGCGGTAGCACATCAACCTTTCACCTAACCATTTCATTCTAAGACTATTCATCCAAAATTTTTTTTTCTGAAATCTGAATTTGGATATGGACAGAAACAAATAGAAGACTCTGTGAGAAGATATCCCTCACCCCACTCTCCAAAGCCACAAAGCAAAGGTATGGCTCCGTGAAGACATGCTCCGTCAGAAGTACATAAAAGGATCATTCATACCTCTGGATTGAGACTGAATGCTTTTGCTGGTTTTCCCACACAAAGAAAATCGAAAATGATTTCTTTCATCGCAAAATCTAAACGTTCCTATAGTAAAAACGAGAACACAAAGTCAAAGTGTTAAGATATAAACTCAACATGAAACGGCTATTTTCATCATATGCACCAAACAAATAGGTGGTGGCTAAAAGAGGAGGGGCACGGCTCAGTTTTGTGGCTTGCAGAGAACCTGGAGGAAGACAATGCCCATCTGAACCCATGGTAGGGCTGCTTCTGTTCTGTGTGGTGTGCAAGGATGCCTTCATTACAGAAAACATGTAATTGGCCCCTAAAGCACAGTATGACTAATGACAAAAGATTCCTCCAAAATCAAATAACCAAAACACTTGGGGTACCCGAGCTCATTAACAGTGTGAACTCTTCCTATTTGTACTGTACTCTTTAAAATGTTTTTTAAAGGGATCACTGCAAGATGATCATTTTCTTCTATTCTCTAACATTAAAAATCCTTTGGCTCATAACCAACAATTCTGCAAGTGAGACAGGTAATCAACACATAAGATATATGAAGGTTACTTAATATATCAGGGGTATAGACCTATATATAGTATAACAGGAATAACACATCAGGTATATATATAATAATGTATATATATATATAATATATGCAAAAAATAGGAATATGTATAACAGGTATATCAGGAATATATAAACAATATATATAAAATATATCAGATATCTGTGTATACGTGTGTGTGTGTGTGTGTATATATATCTATATACACACATACTTATTTATACATACCTAAATAAAACAGGTTCATTTTATACAACACATTCCAGAATAAACAATGCACATTCTCGGCCACATGATAACTACATACAGAAAAATTACATTAATTCTTTCACCTGCAGAGCAAGTACTGTCCTTTTCCTAAGGACAAACATTACAGAGCTATTTCATTGCACCAAACACAAAGAGAGATATTACTGTCAAATCGTCTGTGAAGTAGCAATTGAACCTTACACTTTGTATCAATTGTACTTCAACAGTACTTTCATGCCTATTATTTCCTTTTAAGCACACGATATTGTGAGGCAACATTTTCATCCCCATTTTACAGCAAAAGAAACAGAAAAAAGATGTTTTCTGACTTGTTTAAGGTTATAGAACTGGCTCATGGCAGAGGCTGGACTGGAATAATAGTCTTTTTCTATTCCTCTGTACAAGAAGGTCAAAGTTGGGGTAAACTCGTTTACTTACAAAGTGTTTTAAAAAGTACAACTCTTGGGTTTAAATAGTAAATTACATATTAAAACTGTTTAATATTACTGGACCCGTTTTTTAAGTCATTAATATACATAAAGCACTTAGAACACTTCTTGGCAAAAGAGTTCTTGATAAATACTGATATTCCTATCAAATTCTTTTTCATAGGTTGAAAGAACATTATTACTCCTCAAATTTTGCTAAATTGTTTTCTTTTGGTTTTCTCTGAACATCAGACCCATTGCTTCCTCTTTACTTGCAGAATCCAGAGCAGAGAAGCAGGAAAAAAACAGAGGTGAAGGGTCAAGACAATCTTGTTTCACACACTGTGACTCAGACGAGCCACTTAAACTCTGTTTCTTCATTTATCAGATGCTGAAAACACTTGATGTACCAACTCACAACTTGTTTTGAAGCAAACCATAGGCTGTGTGTGAAAACACTTTAAACCTTTCACAGAAGTCTAAACATGTAAGAGATTAATTTAGACTTTCCATCTTTTACTCCTTCATAAGAAGGAGGCTGGTTGCTTAGAAACCATTAGAAGATTCCCACCATCAGAGTCTTCTCCATTACCTGGGCAATGAACTGGATGATTTTCACAAAGATGTTCAGAGGCATATCCCTTGGCACCACACCACGGGACCCTTTGGGGAAAAGTGTTGTGATGATGGTTATAAGTCGGCTGAAAGATAAGGGGGAAAAGAGAAAACAAGCAAGATTGGCTGAGCTCCAGTTCTTTAAGGGAAAATGGCAGATGTTTCATCTTATCTAAGTATCAGAATTCAGAAAAAGAAAACAAATCACCTCACCCCTTTCCATTAGCATAATTACTCTACGAAAAGTTTTTCTGGAAAACTAGGAGCAGTTGGAAATTGTAGCTGTTTTTTTGCTAAAGTGGCAAATGCAACTCTGGAAGTGGAACTTGTTGATCATGATAGAGGCTGGAGCGTTTGTAATGGGTGTTGTGCCAATGACTACGGAAAGCCTGAAAATGTTCCTCAGGACTTAGATCTTTTAGATCTAAGTCAGCTTTGAGTAGCTTCTACCTGAGTTAGCATAGGCAGTAATAAAAGAAATACCCGCTGCAGTGGCTGAGTAATGTGATTACCTTTGACAAAAGCCAAATCCTTACCTCTGAGTAGCTGTGTTGCTTTCACATTTAATTCGAATCATGTAAACCCAAAGTAATCTGTAGAGAGATTCCAGTGCAACTCGAGCCATCTTGGGGTCTTTATTCTATAACAGAAACCAAGATGTAACATTGCAGATGTAAATGGTGAGGTCTGAGGTTCTAGGGACAGTTCTTCTCTGAAGGCCTGGAAAAGGTAAGTCCCAAGTGGATGGCTGGGTACTTCCGAGGCACATTGCATCATTTGGGACTTATAGGGTATTTGCCTCTCAATGCTCATAGGATGAACCATCCATGCGGAGGCATATAAATGGTGGGACAGAGTAATTCTGGGGGAAGCCATGTCACTTTATCCTTTGCCATGGTGAGTACTCAAGAGATTATCTTCTCCCTCCAGCCCTAGGGAACCCAAATTCTTTAGCACTAATAGGAGAATCAGTCTGTTCTTTTTATTGTTGATTATGTCCTTGTAAACCCTTATTGTTTTGATTCTCCAACCCCTCCATCCCATCCCATCTGATCGCCCTCCAATATTGAGACTAATGTTTACTAGGTACTGTGCTAGAACTTGAGATGCAGAGATAAAAGACAATCCTTCCCCTTAAGATGTTCACAATCTATGGGAGATGGGAGTCAACTCTACAACAGCATGAAAATCTGGTAGAGACAGAAGTAAGAGGATAGAAAAAGGGCAACATATGGCAAACTCAAGGAATGGGGTCAGGAAAGGATTTCAGGAGCAGATAAAAACTCAGATGACTCATGCCTGTAATCCCAGCACTTTGGGGGGCCGAGGCTGGTGGATCACGAGATCAGGAGTTCAAGACCAGCCTGGCCAAGATGGTAAACCCCATCTCTTTAAAAATACAAAAATTAGCCAGGCGTGGTGGCAAGTGCCTGTAATCCCAGCTACTAAGGAGGCTGAGGCAGAGAATTGCTTGAATCTGGGAGGTGGAGGTTGCAGTGAACCAAGATGGTACAACTGCACTCCAGCCTGGGTGACAGTGCAAGACTCCATCTCAAAAACAAAACAAACTCAGATGAACCTCAAATCCATTTTTGTTGTACTCATTCATAATGAACATGCATTTGAGTTACTACACTGAGGCTGCCACGGCCCTAGATAATTTGAAAAGTGTAGAAAAAAAATGGCGGGAGAGGGAGGTATGTAGGCAGAGGCAAGAGCACACGGAACCTGAGAGAAATGGAGGAGCAGGGGACTTCTGTTTGGGAGTCTGGGAATCCTTTGTATGCTGATGAAGGGCCAGTGCAAGGCCAGATGAAGGAGCAGCTGTTGGCGAGGTTTGAGAGAAAAGCAGGGGCTATATGAGGCACCTTCCATGAGGAGACCAGGCTTCTCATGATGCTGACAGGCAGCCAATGAGATCAGAGAGACCACAGAGGAAGTCCAAAGTCTGCAGCATGGAGCAGAGGCAGGGAAATCAGCTGTGAGTACCCAGGCATTAACAAATCAGTCAGAGAGGAGGGTGTAGGTTTCATCATCTGATGGACACTTCATTCCTCACTTCTGACTCTCACTCCATCCTTTCAATCAATTTTATAGATTTTATCCACAAAATTTCTCTTGAATTTGACATCTTATCCATTCTTACTTCCTTTGCTATATAGCTCAGGCTCCCAACACTGTTATCGGGATTGCTGCAGTACCCTCCTACCAACCTCTCTAAGCCAATCCCACCCCACTGTCCTATCTTACACCAATTACAATCCTTTCCATGTAGAAATCACAGAATCGGTGATTTCCCTGGTGCCGGTGGGATCAAGTTAACATTTCTTGGCCTGGCATACCAGACTAGTCAACAGCTGGCTCTAACCTACCTGTCTGCCTCCCATCCTGTTACTCTCCCGCAAGCTATATAAACTCTAAACATAGCCAGGCCATTCTCATTCTATTTCCATGATGGGAGTGTCCTTCCACCCCCCATTCCTGGATCTTTTTTTTTTCTCCCAAGTGAACCCTGTTCATTCTTTACAGTGGACTTGGATGTCCTCTCCTTTGTGAAACCTTCTCTGTTCCTCCCTGATGCCTTGATCCTAGCCCATTAAAACTATTCCCTCCTGCGTGTCCTCTGACTCATATACCTCTAGCATAGCCCTTCAACTCCTTACATATGGGATCTTGTTTGAACATCAGTTCCCACATAAATGATAGGTTCTCTGAAAAAGGGGAGCATTATTTACCCCTTAAGAGCTATTAAAATTTCTTCTGTTCTGCATGGGGTCAATGCATGTTTGCTAACCAGTCTTCCAGTGTCTTAATTTCCTGATAGGTTCTTTTGCCTTTTTGTTACTTGTTTGTCTCCATTTATTTAGTCAAACAATTCTCTTTTTTTCTTAGAGCAGATAATTTATGGAACTGATTTTTATACAATTCATAATTCTTTACAAATGACCTGGGATAAAGTTTATCTTAAAATTGTTACTGAATAAAGATGATCCACATAAATAAATTCTATAGGAAAGACTATAGTGAGAAGTTTTTAGATTTAGGAAAGATAGACTTCGTAAGCTGTGTAGTCTAATAACTTTTTAGTGTGGTCATTATTTTAAAAGTCTAAATTTCCATATACATTTAGGTCTGTTCTATGTTTCTTTTTTTGTTCTATTAGTCTGCCTATTCAAGTACTAATGCCACATTATTTTAATTATTCAGGTTTTATGATATGTTAATATCTAGTATGGCCTACTTTCTACAGTTCCTTGCTTTTTTATTTTTATTTTTTAATTTTTAGTGGTTTCCAAGATTTTCTTGCATGTTTATTCTTCTAGATGAACTTTATAGCTATTCGTCTAGCTTCACGGAGAAAAAAAACCTGGCTTTTTAGAAGCACACATTTATGTATAAAGGTTTTATTTTTCTTGTTAATATAATAGGTAAAATTTGTCATATGTTTTAGTTACTTACAGAGCACTTGAAACTAGTAAAGTTGCATTTAAAATGGTCCATCATTTTAAAATTTCAGAAATTATGACTACTCGTCCAAATCAGCAAATGCCTATGGTGTACTCACATGGTGGTTAAAAGCAGACTCCACACACAGACTGCCTGGGTTTGAATCCATCCTTGCCTCATATTTTATTAGCTCTGTGGCCACGTAGGGAAAGCGTTTTAATCTCTCTGGGTCTGATTTTCCCTGTCTGTGAAATGTAGATGATAATCCTACCTCCATTACAAGAGTATATGAGAGTCAAATGAGTTAATACACATAGGGTACTTAACACTGTACCTGCCTGTAATATTACTATGTAGAAGACAGCTTCAATCCAGCAGCAAACAAGGGAAATGCAGCGCCTGCCTTTATTCCTTCCTAGTGGAAATGTCTTTTCTTTTGTGAATTTTGTTTTTTTAGTACCTGTAACAGTCTATATTTGCATAGCGTATCATTTGAAATTCTTTCATATACATTATCTCTCACGGCAAATCATGATGAGGAAAGGCAAATATCATCTCAATTTCACTGAAGACCATAACCGAGATCTCGAGTTTAACTGATTCACATTAGTGTCTTCTGTTTTAATTTCTTTAGAATATTTGTCCTGTCCCTCCTGTCTACCATTTTTCTTGCTTCTTGTTGTGACTAATGTTCTTTCACTCTTAACAACATTTTTGAGGTTGTTTATTTTTGCTTCCATAGACACTGAAAAGCAAAGTAGCTAACTTAGGTTTTAGTTTGTTTTGTTTGTGGATTATGTACTGTTAATTGGTTTTTAGCATTTCATGATGACATCAGATCATTGCAACTGCCTCCCAAATGGATTTGCTGGCCTCTCTTCATTCTTGCACAAAGGATATTCTTAAAATACAAACATGTTTACTTTCCTGCATTTAAAGTCCTTAAGTGGCTTCTAGTCACCTACTGGACAATGTCCAAATTTCATAATATGGCATATGAGGGGCCTTTTGTGAGCTGGCTCCCTTGTACCATTTCCTGTCTCTGCCTTGTGGTAGGTGAACCTTGCACTGAAACTTCCTTTCTGCAATTCCCTGAATATCTGGGATGCCTTCCTACCCTTGTCTACTTGGAGAACTTAAATTCAATTAGGTGACACCTCCTCTTATGGTATTCCCCCACCCCTATACTCCTGTCCCCATCCTCTGGAGAGGCTACCAAGTGCCCCTGCTCTCTGTTTTCTAGGAAACAGACATCCTTTACTTGAATGTTTCCAGCCAGACAGTGAGCTCCAGGCATTTTGATTGTTCATTTTTGTGTCCTCAGTGACTACCATACAGCAGGTTACATATTAAAAGCAAAACCAGTAAATATTCAAAAACAAAAACAATCTGAGCAGTAGCTGAACAACTTGATACATAAACCAGATTCATTTGTACAGAACCTATATTAAAGACAAACTCTGCTATGTAGGTAAAGCTAATTTTCATATTATAATGACAGTAATAAATATCTTGGACTTGTACGGAATTTTGGTTTTTCAGATGTGCTTTCATATAACATGATATCAATTGAAGGATTTTATAAATGAGAAAAGGCCCAATGATTGGTCAAAGTAAATGACAGTAAACCAGGTTAGTACATGACAGCTGGGTTAGGAATTGACTTAGGCTCTAATAAATATTGTTTTCTCAGAAATTGGAATGTATTTATTACAAGGTGCTGGCTATAGCAGGTATTTAATTTTAATCAGTGCTGTACTTATATTAACCCATTTTAATTTTCACAACAATGTATGTTGTAGATTCTAGGAACAGAGCGGTCAAACAACTTAAATAACTTACTCAAGGTCACACAGTTAATAAATGACAGTGCTAGAATCTGAACCTAGGCAATATGGCCTCGGTGACTTAAATTTTCCACTTCAACTTAACATTATGTGGAGGCTGCTCAAATATGCTATTGGTACCTACTCTACTTAAAGATAGTGCTTCTTCTTCATCTGTCTTTGTATTTCCTTAGCAGCTAACAGAATAGGTGCTTGATATATATTTTCAGGATGCAGATATTTTAGCATATGTCTCAAATCACTGATTTCTGTATCAAAGCTATTTTCTTCAAGATCAAAACAAGGATCTTCAAGATTCTTCTGTTGGAATCTGCATCTCCCTTAATTAATTAACCAATAATTAATT